CCTTTCCTGTTTTCTTTTTTTTTTTTTTTTTCCGTTTTTCCAAAAGCCCAGGCTGCAGAGGAAAAAAAGGAAGAAGTTCCCACTGTGTCTGGAAAAGTGGACAAGGCTCAGGGGAAGAAAGACGAATCCAAAAGCACCAAGAAGAAGGACGGGGAGAAGGAGCAGAAAGAAGGATCCAAGAAAGAAGGGAAGGATGGGGCCAAAAAGAAAGAGGGAGAAAAGGGAGAAAAGGGAGGAAAAGGAGAAAAGGGAGGAAAAGAAGAAAAGGGAGGAAAAGAAGAAAAGGGAGGAAAAGAAGAAAAAGGAGGAAAGGGAGAAAAGGGAGGAAAAGAAGAAAAAGGAGGAAAGGGAGAAAAGGGGGGAAAGGACACAAGTGACAAGAAACAAGGGGGTGGGAAGAAGGAATGTGAAGCAGGAAAAGCAGGAGGAGGCAGCAAAAGCAACGGGAAGGCTGCTGGGAATGCCAAGGCCCCAGCAAAGAAGAAGTGACCTCGCTGGCAGACAGGGCTGGCACTTTTTTGGGAGGACAAATTCCTGTGGGAGGAGAGCTGGGAGAAGCCAGGACACGGTTGTCCACGTGCTCCAGGTGGTGAGTGCCACTGGATATGGATTTATTCCCTTCTGGAGACCGAGTCACTGGCTTTGGCAACAACCACTGGAAGCAAACTGCACCTGGAATGAGAATGAGGGCTTTGGAGAACCCTGGGAATGAGCAGAGGGGAAGCTCTGGAGTCATGGGAGGACAAGATTCAGCTCCAGGTTGTGCTCCTCGAGGACCTTCAGGACTTCCATCGATCACAGAATCAGCTGGGTTGGAAGGGCCCTCCAAGATCATCAGGTCCAACCCTTGATCCCAATATTTCCTTGCACTCCTCACCTCCTAAACAGGCTTTGCATGGGGGGGAATTTCAGGGATTGGGGAATTTCTGGATGCTCAAACCCGAAGGCTGGAGTTCTCCAAGTGGTTGCAGAGAGGTGGTTTGGACACTTGGGAGGAAGTTTTCCTTCCTCCTCAGCTGCCTGCTGGAGGGAATACAGAGAAATCATCTCTCCCAGAAGATTTATCCACCTTTTCCTCTTTTTTTTTTTTTTGCTGATGAAAGATCCAGGGGGATAAATAAAGCTGCTGCTGCTGCAGGGAGCCCCTGCCCTCAGCTCCTCGTCCCCCTGGGAAAGGCAACGAGATCCCGGTGGGATGAAGGGGATGTGATGCCTGGATGAATCCCTGGATGAATCCCTGGGTTCATTTTGCTCTGAAACCAGGGATTTTGCTCCACTTTTATGTGGCTGTTATTCCTCTCACCTCCCGGAAACTTCTTTGGAGGAGTTTTCTCAGGAGCAACGTTTCTCTCGGCGTGTTTTTGTAAAAATCTCGACAATTTACGCCTTCAAATTAACAGCCAGGGGGTAATTAGCTAAAAAGCTAATTGGGGATAGCTTCCAAGGTGTTGGGTTGAATAAAATTCTCCCTGTTGTCTCTGCTGGATACACCAACTCTGAGTAATCCACCGGCATGTATTGATCCATGGGATAAGGAGGGAATTCTCTCCAGTCCTTTATTCTCCTCAGGAATTGGATTGATTTTAATCCAAGAGTTTTCTGTTCCCCCCGTGGTTTCACCACGGACAGAGAGTTGGTTTGTCACTGCAAAGACATTTCTCCCCTGTCCCATTTTTTTCCTTGTCCCACCTTTCCTCGTCCCAACTTTCCTTCCCCTTCTTTCCCTGGCAGGAAACGAACCCCAGCAAAATAAAAACATAATTAATGGGGTCTTTCAGCTCATAAAAAGCCCCAAAACACCAGAGCTCTTTAAAGAGTGGAGTAAGGCTTGAGGAGCAAGGATGGGAATGACGTTCCCAACCACAGGAATGTTTGGGAAGAGCACCAGCAATGCCAGTTCAGTGCATGACCTGCCCTGGAAGAGGGAAATCAGGGTTGGGAATTCTGCCCCCCGTGACAGAGAAGTGCTTGGAGCCCTCACTCTCCATGACCCTCAGTGATAAATGGGAATATGGACATGGAGACGTGATATTTAATCCCAAATCTCAGCCCAATCCCGATTTTCCAAAGGCTGAAGGTGAGGGGGAATTGCAGCTTCCAGGTGGAATTTTCATCCCCTCCCGAACCTGAGAGGTCTCAGGTGTTCCAGTTCATGGCTCAGGACAAACTCTGGGCTGCACAGAAAACAGGGAAAAGGACTTTCATCCATCTTTTCAGCTGGAATAGAAGGGAAAACAACATTCCATTCCCTGCTTCCTGCTGTTCTGCCCCTGTTTAATCAGGAATCACAAAGCAAAAATGAAGGAAAAGAGGGATTTTAACACGGAATTCCCTGCCTGGGTGCAGGGATTGCATTCCCTGGGGATTTTTGGGAACTCCAATCCCAGGTCAAGCAGCTCTGGGATGGGATCCAGCTGGGATTTGGGTGGGAAAAAGGCTGGAATCACGTGCCATTAATTTAGGATGTGCAGAGT